GCACAATATAATTAGTGTGCGGACCATTTTCATTTATATAGTTCTCCGTGAACACAAATTGGTAAGCATAAATCAGTTAAATGACGAAAAATTAGGTGTCTATTTACTTGTGACCACTCAATGTATATCTATATGTATATGCTTCCATGTAGTGTAATGTAATTGATAGATTCTTTTCAGTGGTATTTCTGTAGTCTTGAAATATAAACAGATGTATATCATATCTTGGGAGCTCAGTCTTGCACAACTAGTACAGTTTTGTTAATTGCAAGAGGAAGTTCATGTCTGATAGAGTTTTTAAAGAGACAATATTTCAGTTCAGAGACATTTAGTTTACTGCGGAAATGGTATGATCTCATCATTGACAGTAAACTTGTAAAATGTTATTACAGATTTCTTAATATTTTGATGGAAAACCCTTGTCCTGTTTTTAAGATAAACTTTTTAGTTAAGTGCAAGCCCATAGGTGTTTACATTTTAAAATGATTTTCATACTTACATAGGATTACGTTTGCAAAATATTAAAATATTTAATACAGCTACTACAGACGTGAAACTGTCAAATGTTGTCCTTTTATACAGTGTTAGAGAGGATGAAACTATTTAGTATTTTCTTTATAACGGTTGCTAAAGAGCGCGAAATTCCTAGTTTATTCTTTAACACAGTTCCTACAGAGCTTAAAACTTTCTAGGTTATCATTTAACACATTTGTTGCAAAACATGAAACTACTTGGATTATCTGTACAGAGCACAAAACTGGTATAAATATTTTATAATGTAACTGCTATACATCAAGGAACTGGAATATGTGATTTTGTAACATAGTTACCACTGTACACGAAACTGATATAGGTTAAATCCAAATAGAGTTAGCTGATCATATGGCTTAAGAAAATCAAGTTAAACAAATAAATGTAACGTGCTAAGGTATGGCTGGATGTTAACCAGATGTTTTGAGCTTCTAACTAATATGTGCAATGACTACTTTAATGTGTACAGTTTATCTATATATCCATCTATCACTAGGAGTGTATTCGATCTCACTTGATCATAAGATTCTTGTCCAATCAAACTTTGACATTTTTCACAAAAAATTACATTCGGTTTGAAACATACATTCCATTTCTGAAAATGCGTTGACTGATTAACATTTTCACCAATAGAGAGGCGAGGGCGTGCTTAACCTAAATGAATACTCACAAAAGACCATAGTTTTCCATTTGTCCTCTATGGTACTTTGAGGAATCTTTGGATTGTTAGACACGCACGTTAAAGTCATCCCGTTATCTTCTCTAGATGGCACTAATATCAGATCACTGACTGTGATACTCTGGTTCACAGAAACCTCCTGAATGATGTTGGACATTGGCATGTTATCTTTCCACCAGGTGAGTTGTGCAGGGGGCTGAGACCCACGAGATGCACAACTGATCTTTACCTTTTTACCAGCCGATAGAGGGCGTTTAAAAGACGTTATTTGCACGTCTACCGGCTTCACTAGGCAAAAGAGAAATAATTACACTTGTTACTATCGACAATCATTAAGCTTGTGTACAGAAATAAATGCCTACATTTCTAAAATTGCTACAACAGGGTTAACAATTGACCTCGATATCAAAGAGTTAGATTAAGAACGTAACTGCATCTATATATGATATTGTAGTGCGAGTTTTGTTTGTGTTTAGCGCAAAGCTACACAATGGGGTATATGTACTATATATCCACCGTGAGGAATCGAAGTCGGGATTTTATCGTTGTTAGTTCGTAAACTTACCACTGATTCTCCGCGGGGTGGGATGTCGAATGAGAACTACAGCCTCTGCATCATATATATAGATACAAATTAATAATAATAGTTACATTAATAGAACATAATACATTCAATTAATATCACGCGAAGCTTAGCGCTTATATGTAGGAAATGTACTATTTAAAATTAATTTAAAATTTATCACACAGTACTCATAAAATACAATAATATTATGATATAATACACAATCAGTTTGAATGTTTTTTTCAATTGTATATGTTAGTTCATAACATTATTTTTGTGTTATTTCCAGTTTCTTATTCATTTTTTTTAACATTAACATATTTTTTGGAATTATATTAATTAAATTTGGTACTTGGTACTTTTTCCGTGGTTACTTTTCATTTCAGGTGGTTTAAAATAACCTTAATTTTCTTGTCTTGTATTCTATTCAAATTTTAAAATGCAATAAAAAATAGTGCTTTATTATAATAGTGTATTGGTATAATTGAAACACATTCATTATATTCAAAGTTATACATCTTTCATAAGCAACCATATTATTTATTTTTCTTATTGGTAGACATTTTTTACTATATTATTTTGCAACTGAAACATTTTGTTTGTATAAGATTGGTAAGTAGAACCGTATATTGTTATACGATAACGAATCACAGGTTCACATAAAGATGTATAAACCAATTGGCATACAGAATGAAGAATATTAAACTGAAGCTTATATATATATATTTTTTTACATGCATCGAAAATTAGAATTTATTATATTTCCTAAATATTTAAATTTTGTTACATTTTCAATTACTGTACAAGTACATGATTGCCTAAAGTAATACATTTAGTCAAATAAAAACTAGTATGAGCAATCAAAAGAGGATAGTTTGGAATTATTCTGTACGGAGTATAAATAAACATTAATTTAGTTTTATCTGTACTTAAATAGATATGGTTTAAGTACAGACATTTCAAAATATTATTAAGATCCCCTTTGCATATTATACACTGCTAAATTAAGATTATAATAACTTATTATTAAGGCAATGTCATCCACATACGTATATTTGCTATATCATTTATATATATTATAAAATAAGATGGCCTAAAATAGAACCTTGTGGTATACCAGATGCGACTACTTTATAATTACTATTAATATTTCCGATTTTAGTACAAATTAATCTAAATTATATAATATTTTTAAACCAATATAACATCTTACCTTTTATTCCTATATTTTGTAACAAGTTATGGTCTATTGTATCAAAAGCCTTAGACAGATACATGAATAATACATTCACAATCTTGTCTTTATCCAAAGATTCGTTAACTTCTTCCAATAGCGTAATTGTACTTTTTACCTTTTTTTATAACCATATTGTCTTGGTGATATAATTTTCTTTTTGTGCAAATATTAAAATATTTACAATATTGTACAATATTAGCAAAATATATTTCCATAATTTTCTCTGTCAAATAGCAACTGATCGATAATTTGGAAACATTTTTTTCACCATTTTTATAGATAGGTCTTGTCACAGATATTTTTAATTAACAGTGTATATTTGATGATACATAACTTATATTTAGCATTTTAACCAGTGTATATAAAAAAAAGAATTATTGCAATACTTTATATGTCTTAAAGATATTTTATCTAGACCAAGAGGCTTTTTAATATCCATTTTACTAATAATTTTTATTATATCATCACTATTTATATTTAGGAAATATAAAGAATTAGAACAATTGTTTGAAAATAACTACTAATATTAATGTATAGATTATCTGAAACATATTTCTATTATTTAATGTGTGTGTATGAAATCTGCATAATAATCATTAAACTTCTCTGCTATATCTTCAATAATAATCATATGTGACATGTTTCTAATGATAACAACGTCACTTGAAGTTTTTTATTTATTTTCTAATAATTCATTAATAACCTCCCATGTTTTTTCATAAAATTTTGTTATCATAATACTTGTGATACAGTATTGTGTATTGTTTTTTATTTTTATTCAAAGGTTTTGTAAGTATTCCCAGGTGAATGTTATTTTTATTGTATATTTTCTAGCTGTTTCCAGGCTGGGAAAAAATCTACATCCGTTCCAGATTTCGAATCAATCGTTAGAATATATCCGTATCTTCTAAGCTCTTGTAGACAAATCATGAAAATTTGGAACTCAGATGTTTCAAAATTATGCTTGTTTTAGAAAAGTACTGACTCGTTCTCGGAATAAGGCTGAAGCACCTTGTAGACCTTACAATAATAAACAGCCAGCAAACGCAGACCGCCTAAACATATATATAGTTCAATTTTACTACGTTAAAATTTCATAACACTCTTTCTAATTCAAATTCACTGTAAAAATGTTTACACGTTTATAAAAAATTCGGATTCAGTATAAAACAGTAGAATAAACTTTTCAAAAAAATTCTAATTATTAGTTAGATTATTATATGTGTGTGTGTTTTATTAATTTTAGGCTTATATGTTTTGCTTCATATATACTTAAAATATTATCTTACTATGTTTCGAATATTTTTGTAGGAAGAAAAAAGTATTCGACTTCATCATAAAGACCCCATTTATAAGTTTTTTTAATTTTAATTCACAAAACCATTGAAAAGCCATTGTTTAAACGTATAGTTAGCTTAATGTTACCAAATAATGTACTGATCGTGTTAAATCGGAGAGTAGCTCTGTTCTCAAGAAGATATTGAAGTTTTTCTAAGGTGGAGAATCAAGCGAGCCACTCACACTAATCTTATCATCTGATCCCTTTCATGTGTTATGATCATTACATTTGAGGTCGACTGAATTCTATCATGTATGATAGACAACTTAAAGGGATTTTAAAATTACGTTTTAATTGTGATTTCAATACTCGTGTCGTTATCTAGACCAGAAGATTATTAATTTTTTTTTGTAGGTTTGGTAGAAATAAAAGCTACAGATTACGAGAACTAGAGAAGAAGGTTTAAACTATGCAAATATTTCAAATACACCAAAAACTAAACAGCTTTCAATGTACTCACAATATAAGTCAATAGTAACGCTGGTGTTAAGAGGTGTGGTAATGTTTGTGTTATTCGCAACACAGCTGAACCTGCTCAAAAGATCGTCTCGTTTAAGACTGAATATAGTCAAGACGTTATGAACGACACCTAGCGACGTTTCTGTATAATCGTCATCGATTAGTTCACCATTCTTCCACCAGGTCACCGAAGGCTTTGGCTTGCCTGAAAAATAGTAAAATTATAAAGCACAGTAATGAAAGTTTCGATAATAACTATTTACAAAAACCTTTTCAGTTTGTCTTTTGCCTTTAAATATTCAAAGTATACCCTCTTATAAACATTTCTTTTCTTTGAATACTCACAATAAATCTTTTCGTGATAAACAGTTTTTTGTTGTTTTTTTAATACTCACAATAAACCATTTCGTGATAAACACCTATTTCCTTGAAATATTCACAATACACCTTTTTGTGATAGTTATCTCCTTTAAATACTAATCATACATCCTTTTGTGCCCCCCCAGTGGCACAGCGGTATGTCTGCGGACTAACAACGCTAGAATCCGAGTTTCGATACCCGTAGTGGGCAGAACACAGATAGCTCATTGTGTAGCTTTGTGTTATAAAAAATTACTCCCTTTAAATAGCCACAATAAATCCTTTCGTGATAAACAATTTTGATAACTTCTGATACTCGTAAATCTGCAGTAATAAATTACGAAAAAGCAGAAGGACCCAAAAATGAGTTTGTATTAATTATGTTTGGATCAGATTTTTCAACAACTTTCGGGGTCTTATTATAATGATTGACTTTGAAGATTTTTCAGGAACCACATATTTTGAATAACTACCGAAGTAACCTGAAGACGATCCGCTCCTTTGGACTGGAGTCGCAGTTTTAATTACTTATAGCACTATGAATTTGTAATTGTTGTTAATCATACATTTCCTGAAAATAGCATGCTCCTGTGGGCTGAAACACCACAATTTGAATTGTTAAAAACACATTTTCCTTGTAAATCTCTTCTTATGTTCCCCGCCCCCCAGTGGCACAGCGGTATGTCTGCGGACTTACAACGCTAGAAACCGGGTTTCGATACCCGTGGTGGGCAGAGCACAGATAGCCCTTGTGTAGCTTTGTGCATAATTAAAAACAAACAAACAAACAAACAAACAAACTTATGTTCCTCAATAATTCAGTTAATTCCAGCAAAGCTTAAAGGGTAGAATTCCTAGTAGGCTAGACATGGTCTGGTGCTTACTGTGCCTGGACTATCAAGAAATGATTCGTGGTTTGAGGCCCGTTGCCACAAAAAACCGCGTTACGCATTTGAGGGCCGTGATTTTGCCATAATGTGACTCCCAAATTCAGCTATTTGGTCAGACAATAGTGGGCTAAGAGTTGGTGGTGAGTGCTTTTGGCTATTTCCTTTCCCTCTAGAGAATGAATTCAAAATTAGGGACAGTTATGCTTAAATATCTCTCGCGTAGGTTTGCGCGAAAATTCTTAAAAGAACAACAGCAAGTATTCATGAGATGAATAGAGAACGATTTATACTGATGTTAGAATTGTGTATAGATATTTATTTCCTTGTTAGTACCATAGTAAAAGTTACTTTTTTCTTCAGTTATTTCGTCGTGCATTAATGGAAAGCAAGTGAAAAGCCAACGTGTAATTAAATTCTCATTAATAAACCCCACAGGTTGTGTATGAAACCGAAGAGCCAGTATATAAGTAATCTTAAAAACTTAAATTGAAAACAAAGCTCTCGGGTTTTACTTTCAAGTCTAACAAGCTTTGCAATTTATCTTACTAAGTTTTCGAACGTCATATCTTAATTTTTAAAACAATGATGATTTTAATAACATATCAGACTTTTTTCATCTTGTATAACTGGGGAAATCCGTTTATTGATGTTGGTGTAAATATAAGTACGAAACTTGCAGTCGTCCCTCTACACTGAGGCTCACTTAAGCTCAAGTATATGAACATTTCTTTCAATCTAGCCAGCATACTCTAATGACATATGTCTTCTGAGAAAGATACCTTCTTTATTAAATGAAGTGTTTAATACAATCAATCCTGATTGCTGTCTAATAGACCTCACTAGCAGCCGCAGCTGGGCTTCTGCTCTTTTCTAATATGGGTGTATTGTTGGTTGCCACCATTGTTCAGAAGAGTACGAATGGATGGATTTTCATGATACACATAAAGCCATTTTCGGTCTTTCAAAGAAATGTGTTCGTCCCACTTATTTTTTTCACCCAACTTCAAAGTGTATAGGGGTAGATCACATTGATGAGGAATTTAAAAATTTATAACATTTTGCAGAGGCATAGATTAATTTGGTGAATGCATTATTGTAGGTAAAAGTGTCGTGAATGGCCTGAAAAATCAATCATATTCACGTACTTCAAAACCACCCCCAATTACATTGTCATCTAAACTGCACGTTCTTCAGAACCACCCCTAGCTACATTGTCGTCTAAACTGCACGTTCTTCAGAACCACCCCCAACTACATTGTCATCTAAACTGCATGTTCTTCAGAACCACCCCTAGCTACATTGTCGTTTAAACTGCACGTTCTTCAGAACCACCCCCAATTACATTGTCGTCTAAAATGCATGTTTTTTGGAACCACTCTGAGCTACATTGTTCTCCAAACTGACAGTTAATTAGGGTCTGCTAATCAGTCACATAAACTTTCTTCAGAACGACCCTTAGCTCCATTGTAGTCTAAGTTGCAAGTTCTTCAGAACCACCCCAACTACATTGTCATTTCTGTTAGATGCGTTCTCAAGTGTTACACACATACTTACTTATTACATATTCATACAGAATTATAATTGTCACTTTAGACGACGGTGTAGATGATCGTAGTTCTGAACGAAGTGCGTGTGACTGATTATCGGACTCTAAATAACTGTCAGTTTAGACGGCAATGTAGATGAGGGTATTCTGAAAAACGTTCATATGACTGACTAACAGACCCTAAAGATACTTGTTACTGACTAAATAGCTGTCAGTGTAGATGACATTGTAGATTATGTTGATTCTGGAGAAAATTTATGTGACTGATTAGCAACCACTAAATAACTGTCAGTTTGGGCAACATTGTAGCTAAGGGTGGTTCTGAAGAACATGCAGTTTAGATGACAATGTAGTTGGGGGTGATTCTGAAGAACGTGCAGTTTAGACGACAATGTAGCTAGGGGTGGTTCTGAAGAACGTGCAGTTTAAAACAGGTTCTAATAGAATGGATGTTTAGGTTATGACAGTAACTGAGGTTAACAATAATTATATCTATTGTATCTGCCCAAAAGTTCAAAGATAAATCAAGTGAAACTGTTGATAGAAGAGACATAAAACGAAAAAGAAAATTTAAAACAGCGCGATGAGAAATGGTTGTTGTTGTTGCTGTTTCAGTGTAAGGCCACACAATGGGCTATCTGTGCTCTGTCTAACGCGGGGGATCGACATAAACGTACCCCCGACCTACCGTGTTAATTAAAAAGGTCTCCGCAAGTATTACTTATTTACGTATATATATGTTCTTTAGTTGGGGCTCATTCAAAATGGGACGAATTGGCTGTGGGTGGTGTTCACTAGCTGCCTTCCTTCTACTCTTACGGTCGGCTAACACAAGGCCTCGAGCAGCTTTTCGCAAAAAAATCAAGAAAACAAAACAAACAAAACGATTCTTAGGCTAAATATATCTAGGAAAAAAATATTACTTCTAGTATTTTGTTGCTGTTATTGTGATATCTTTTTCTTCCATTTTACAAAAACAAAACTTTCAAACTTGTAAAATTCCGAGAAAAATTATATTGAAATATTTTACTTCAATGATATTCCAGCTTTTAAACAAAATAAAAAAGGAAAAAATGACAGACCTGAATTTTTCGAGTACATAAAATCGAACATCAGTAAGTCACGTTTAAGTAATTTTTGGAATAATTCAGATTCTAATAAAATATGAAAATGACATATTTTAGATGATTAAAATAATAATAGGTAGTTAACAATAGTTGAAATTAAAAATTAAAGGTTTCTAAACAAACCGAGTTAAGACTATTCGGCTATCTTTAAGCCAGTGAAAACGCAACTGTACTTTAATGTGACACCTTAAGATTAAACCATGTAAAAGTAAATGCATCAGTTTGTCAGTAAATCGCGTTCACTTTTCGCACACAGATCTTAATGTGTAACCTGCAGTAAGATGATGCACATAGCTATATTTCACAATGTTATTTGTTTGTGATATTCTTATTTTCATGTTTTATGAGACGTAGGAGTATATATATATATGTATATATATATAGAGAGAGATTATCGTAAAGTCACTTACCTCCTTTTACTTCACAAATCAATTTGAGCTCGGATCCCTCATCAAATGGCCCTATGGTCTTCCTCAGAATGTCTCCTTTTTCATTGAAAATCGATATTTCCTTGGGAGGCACTATGATAGTATACAAAACATTAAAACGGAAAAAGAGATAGAAATATTAATATGACAATCAGAATTATACCAATTTTCTGATATGTCACTTGTCTTTTACAATGTCTTTAAGAAGAACTGGATACCAAAATAAATGTAATAATGATAATAATTTCCAGCCAATATTCATATGGAAAGTGTTGAATTATGCTAGAAAATGGTTATTTGCAGCAGTTAAACAGAGTTATCAGCTTTGTGTGTCAAAATTGTGTTAGATCTCATCCTTGACGCGAAGCCAAAATACAAAGAAAAGCTGCGTTATGGTTAACTGAAAATAAATAAAAGTTTTAGTTTATTACTCCTGGGCAGTTGTTCAAAATTAGGGATGTCTATATATATATATATATATTGTTTGTTTGTTTCTAGAAGTTAAGCACAAAGAACTAATTTTGTGATGCACCGCAGTTTTAACAACACTTCTAAGCTATTAAAACAATATTTTGTGAAATAATCCAGGAATAAAAAGTCGTGAATATTATTGCAGGTAATGGGAATATTGCATTGTTCATCGTTTTATATACATCTATAAATTTATTAACAAACTTGTTATATAGTTCATTATTGGTTGTCATTATTGTTTAAGACTCATAACGTAGGTAAATTAACATGTAGAATTATACATGGACTTTTGTATACGTTAAAATACTTTTATTTGCAAGGTTTCGGTCCTTTTACCCGAAGAAGGCTCCGGTAATAGGGTCGAAAGCTCGCAAATAAAGGTATTTTAACGTGGAGAAAAGTCCGTGTGTAATTCTACATTGGTTGTCATTCTTATATATATATATTAAACACAGTACTAATATTTATTGTTGAATTTCCTTTCCAAGGCAACATTCTTTTGAGCAGTAAACAGTTGTTATTGAATTAAATTGTTGTTTCAAGTATCTTAAACTAGAAATTATCATGATAGTATTCGATTTACATCAAATTCAAATTCATTGTCGTAGTACCCTTCGTACGAAACGTTGAGCTCACTATGACATATTTTATTATGCAGAAAGTTATATTCACGTTAATATAATTTTAGAAACAAATAGAAAATGTTTCAGATTTTATCTATTTCTGTTTGACTCTGTAATTCTCGTTCTAGCTCTCTGTTTTTCTTCAATTCATTGGAGACAAGAAACCGCAGTCAATTTTCAAACAAAAATGTGGCGCGCATCAAAAGCGTTTACAAACTATCGATTCGGGACAGGGAAGATTATTTAAAAAACCGAAGATGTGATGAATTCCTATTGATTGAGATCGTGTGGCACTGTTGTCAATAGAAAAGACTGAAAATGAAATAACTTCAACCACGTGCAAAGAGGAATTGGAAGAGGAAATTCCCAGTCTCCTGTAAACGCGTTTTTATGGGTTTTTTATTATTACTTATAGTAAATGACTATTGTCCATAAAGATTGACTCAATTACATATCCGAGATAAAAGAACAATAAATGAACTTAGTAGGATTGTGAATTTAAATTATTCTGATTTTTTAGGGAACCTTTTACTAAAGCGGAAAACCTTATCTATTTATCTAGCTCTAAAGTTAGGTAAAATATAAGTTATTTATTTGTTTCACTAATGGTCATTTTTAAACAATAGCGAACCTATAAACATTCGGATTCTCTTACTTGATTAATTTAAAAATATGCATTTCTGTGCATTTGTGTTATCTAGGCTCCACCTACCATGGGTTTAGATTTATGTATCAATTTATTTGGGATAATATTCACTAAGTGTCTGCTATAGTACTGGCATCGAAACAATATTGGAGTGGTCAAAGTTCATTCTTCATTTAACATGAAGTCGATACGTTTCATATAAGCCAACCGTACCATTTCTTACACTTCTAACTATTTCAAGTATTGATCAGCGTTATCTTTGTTCATTAAAATATCTATTTGTAGTTTAGCATGAATAATCTCACCCATACACCTTCTCTATTTCACTTTATTGTAATATCTTGAAAAAATGGCATAAAGTTAATCAGAATGGTAAGTAACTCAGTATATTTCTAAACGAACGTTATATTTCACTTATTCATAGACACTTGAATCAAATCTCAGACAAAGAAGGGTGGTATTTTGTTATATGGTAATGTTGAACACAAACATATTTGTATTACTAGCTTAACACCTAGGAAGTGGTATCATAGCATCCTTAATGGTTGAAGAGCTCAAAAGCTGACTTTTCAGCTTATGGAAGTTATGTTATCAGACTTTCACGAACGTGTAAAACTGCGATACTCAAATATGTTTCTTTCATTACAGACATCGAAAGTGGTTAACATACATTTATCTATCCATGCTGGAGCAGTTAATTTCCACTTCTCTGCCAATGCTAGGGTGGTTATCTTACACTTCTCTATCAACACTGGAGAGATTAACATCCAGTTCTTTGTAAATGTCAGAGTTGTTAAATTCCGCCTTTCTAACAATATGGAGTGGTTAGCTTTCACTTCTCTATTAACGCCAAAGTTGTTAAATCTCACTTCCCTACAAATACTGGTATGATTAACATCCACTTATCTATCGACGCCGAAGCGGCTAGTTTCCACTTCTCCAACATTATTGGAGTGGTCAGCTTCTACTTCTTTACAAACACCAGAATGGTTAATTTCCGCTTCTAGGTAACTCTGAAGTAATTAACATGCACTTCTTTACTAACATCTATATGGTTAAAATCCTCTTCTTTATCTTGCTACTGATACAAGCCCTATTGTTCATGTGTTTAGTTCACTATTTTAAAACTTACAGATTGTACTGATGATGATATGGGTTACTTATTGCAGCCGATATATAACAGAACATTCACATATTTAATAGTTCTTTATGACAGTACAGTATATAATATTATAGCCAGGAATTTTAGTGTTATAGGTACTGTTACGAGTTAATAATAATAGTTAAGAGTTTTAGTTACAGTTTGATGTTAAAGTACATCTACACCAGGCTTACTCCTATCATTAATAGAATTATTTACCGTGGAGGCCAATAGAATCATTGTTAACTGTAACTATGGAGACCAGTAGAGTAATTGTTCACAGCTACTGCAGAGATCAGTAGAGTCTTTGTTCACAGTATTTGTGGAGAACAGTATAGCCTTGTTCACACTAACTATGGATACTAGTAGAATTTTTGCTCATAGTAACTGTAGATATCAGTAGACTTTGTTCACTCTAGCTGTGGGTACCAGATGAGTCTCTGTTCACAGTTACCACGAAGACATGTAGCCCTTGTTCACAGTAGCTGTGAAAACCACTAAAGTCCTCGATCACAATAACTCAACAGACCAGTAGAGACTCTGTTCACGATTACTGTGAAAACTAGTAGTAGAGTCCTTGTTCACAGCCATATTGTCTTTCTTACGTAAAACAGAACTTATAAACAATACAATTTTTAAGGAAATTGCTATCCATGTGTAAAATGTTAAGTTTTATTAAAACGTGAAAGTTAACTGTAACATTGAGAATCTTCTAGGAAAATAGGCTCTTTCTTGCTGCCGTAAAATCGCACTTCGCACTTTGAGGCCGTAGTTGGGTTATAAGAACGACAGACAAATCTCATTATTCGATTAGAGTAGCCCAAGAGTTGGCGGTGACTGCTATTGACTAACAGAGCTAGTCTCTGTGTAGCTTAGCGCGAATATCTAAAACATGTAAATACTATTCAATTTAAAATTAAAGTATTTTTTAGTTCAAACACATAGGCATACAGAGAGAGAGACAGAAGGTTAGATTAGTTCAAAAAATAACTTAATAATTTAGTTTATCAAAGAAGAGCTGTTCAATTTCCACACAAACCATGACGTCAAGCATACTAAATATAGATGTTTGTTATTATTGAGATATATAAAGATGGTATTACCAAATATCTTTACAGCATTTTGATGTTTGAAGCAACGTATAGTGTAGTCTTACATAAGATTATCGGAAATTTTAGTCCGCGCTAGATCCTTTACAGCCCTGAGCCTTTACTTCTTGTGTTTCCATGTAGAGTTTACAATAAAATGATTTATGTTTAACATCTTAGTTTCTAATAGATTTTAGGGTTACGATTTTCGTACTTTTCTTTCTGGCTTTCGAAGTTTTAGCTTTAGATATGCTAGGTTTAAACGGATTCAAAGCTTCATATTTAAAGTTAAGTACATTGGACCTTAGTTGTATGGCTGAAGAAGTATATATTATATAGTTTTGTTTGTTTATTTTAAACTTAATATACATATGTATGTATATATATATATATATTGAAACCAAAAACGTTTTTAGGGTGTTCAGCTTTCAAACGAGATCAGGTTTTCTACATTTACAGCTAGGTGGTAATGCTGTTTTCAGTTGGGCTGGTTATAAAACAGGTTTTGTTATCCATTGCAAGATGATATTATAAATTTCGTTGATGCCAGCTAACTGATAGCTGTAACTGGGAAGTTAGACATGGATGTTCATAGATTCAAACATAAGAGTATAAAGGTGTAGAAACTACACCAAAATATTCACCATTGGATACTGACAAAACAGATTTCGATAGTAGAAGAGAAAGACATTTTTTTTAAAGATTTTGGGGTAATTACATACATTTGCATATGTTTTACTTGAAATAAGAACGAGCTGTACAAAGTATTATTTTAGTAATCTAAAAGATGAGAATGGACTACCGATTAATGTGCCTAACAGCGGATTGGTTGGTCCAATGTTCGAACCGACGAAATGCTGCTGAGCACGCCCCGCATTTTCATCTATAATCGAGTTATAAAAGTGACAGTCAATCTCATTATTTAGTTTAGTGTAGCTATGTTGATAGCAGGTGCTACATACTGGATGTTCTTCATCTGATCAGCAGTTTAAAGCAGAGACAACTTGCTTAAACCTTGAGACCTCTGACCTGATTGACCGTTTAATTCATGTATCGCATATCACTGTGCTCTTTAGGTGGAAATATCAGGATTTACGAAGAGTTTATATTCACTAAGTCAGTCA